GCCTGTCTCAGGCAGCATGGGGCCCAAGGCTGGGGTACATGGATGGGACTCCAGTGCATTGTGGAGTACATACACACACTCTCTCATTTCTCAATTTATGGGTATGTGTGAATAATATATATTTTTTTAAACTCCAGCCTGATTCTTCCCTGTTTCTCATTAATGAAGGGCTTCTTCCTTGCCTTATGGAACTTCAGTCCTGCTTCTAGGAGCCTGATACAAACTATCCTAGCAGTGAACTTCACACCTGCACTTAATGTTCCCCGTTCCTCATGAAGGTCACTCGATGTCATCCTACGATTCATGAGAAACTGTGGAATATGTTAACGGTCATCTCTGGCATTAGAAAGTCACTTCCGTCCATTACCTCGCTGGTTTCTGGTCGTTCCCCATGTCACCTTATTTGTGTGTACTGCCGTCTTAAAAATTAACAAAATCATTTATAAAAACGTTCATACCATTTTTTTCTGCAGCTGTATAGAAAGTCTCTTTACAATTTCAAAAATGTATTACAAAGGCAACTGATGAGAGGATCACGGATGCCATTGCCACCATTGATGAGGTTATGCCACAGTGAACATGGCAAGAAATCAAGTACCGTCTTCATGTGCTTTGTGCAACTAATGGTGCCCATATAGAGGTGTATTAAATGACACAATAAAAACTTAATATATGTCTCATTTTGTAATAATTTCCACATATCTGTCTTTTCACCCTGTATATTATATATATACACACATATACACAGTATATGTGTTTGTGTGTGCATGTGTAAGTGTGTGCATATATAAATATATATACACACACACACACACGTGTGTCTTCCTCCTTATTGTTCAGAATCTGGAATATCCCCTAAGTAATCTGCATAAAGGACTCTCCATTTCTCTATTTTCAATGATTCTCTCCCCCCCCCCCGACAGAGGTTCCCAATTGAGATTGACAGTAACCTCACCCTCCCAGGGTTGTCGCTCTGATTTCTGCCCCCCCCCCCCACCCTCGTGCATGTAGCATTTGCACGTTCTCCTCACATTGACCTGGGTGCTCCGGCTTCCCCCCACCACCCAAAACATGCAGTCTTTTTGGATCGATGGATGTGTCTGCGCCTTATAATGGACGGCAACCCTACCCAGGGTCCCCCCCCTGCCTCACGTCCAGGGAGTCCAGCGGTAAACTCTAAACTCCATGCGCCGTGCAGAGCAGTGCTCCCCAGTCCGGTTCTCGGGGACCCACAGACGATCCACGTTTTTAGGGAGGTGGGAGTTAGCTGTGGGTCCCTGAGGACCAGGTTGGAAGACACTGGTATAGAGTACAGGAAGTTCCAGAAGATGGATAAATGGACTTCTCCTTCTGCTTTATCATCTACATCTTTCAGTTCCTCTTTTCCCCCTTTAGACAAAAATTCAGTCTGTCAAAAATATCTCACCCATTCTTTTCACTCTCTGGTGACTCTTTTTTCCATCCTGTCCTTTTCATACTTAGTCACCGGATTTCCTTCTCCCTCTCAGCTCATACTCCCCCCGTTGAGAACACCTTACTTTTTCAAATGTTTGCATATTAAATAATTTGACTGTCCCACATCTCTTTCCCTCATTCTTGCATCCATCTTATTCTTCCTGCTCTTCCTCTATTTCCCCCTGTCCTGCATCCGCTACTCTTCCTTTACTACCTATGCTGCCATTTTCTTTCCTGAGAACATTTAGTAACCTCTTTGTTTCGCCCCCTCAGTGATGTAGCGTGGTGACCAGCAGGGGGTGCTCACCTTCACAGCGCTGACGTTTATTCAGCTGAAACGGGAAGATGATGTCTTTTCCATCACCGCAGAATTCACACACAAACCCTTTTGCTTGGCAAAGCTGTGGGGAATCGAAACAAACACACTTAATTGTGACATTTATCCTGCTGCCCTACAACTGCATTCTTCTAATACTACTCTCTAACAAGAAGCTGCATAACATTTTCACTTTCATCTGCCAACCTTTGCAATTTTGCAAACAAAACCAGAACAAAAAAAGAATAAAGAACAAAAAAGGCTGCAGGATTCCACAAATCCGGTCCTGGAGGGTCGGAATCCAACACAGTTTGTTGATTTCCCTGCTCAACAAACACCTAAATCGGCTAATTACCAGCTTTACTAAGTATGTTTGAACATGGAAATCTGCAAACTGTGTTGGATTCCTGCCCTCAAGGACTGGAATTGGGGAACTTTAAATGCTCCCCTACGCTGAGGCAAGCAGTGGCCCCACCAAATATGTGACAGAACGATACACATTTTTATACCTTATTTTATGCGTCTGGCATGAATAAACTGACTTATCAGGTAGCTCAGGGTAGATGCAGCCAGCGAAAATCATGTCATTTTTGTCTTACCACACAAACAGCAACATGTATGCTTCCTAAATGCAGCAACTCCCTCAGTTTAGGGGCCAGTTCTCCACGACGCACGGCACTGAGGTCATTGACAGAGAAGAGGTGGAGGTCCTCGGTCAAGTGACATGGGATGCTATCAAACTGCTCCAGCAATCTATCAATGAATCAAACAGATGACAAGACAATAGTCACAGGAAGTCCAATTTCCCAGTAATGTAGTAAGAGGTACGAACAGGAGAGTTCTTACCCTTTAGCCATCCTGCAAGTCTTGAACAAGTTTTTCATGTGGTAGAGCTGAACTCTCAGCACCTGAAGTACAAAGCATGCAAACATATCTCCGAGCTCAAGCTCAATCCACGTGGTCAGCAATCAGCCACCATGAAAGTGTCGGCAGACTCACCCGTACAGCATCCAGCGTCTTGACTTTTTTGTAGAGGCTGAAGTTGATATCCTTCAGGTTGAACAAGGGGTCTCCTGCGATCTTAGCCAGCAGGTCCCAGGCGAAGTTGCTTACTGGATGTTTAGCGAAGTTCCACTTGCGGAGGACCCAGCCGGGCACCACGGCCTGCTTATTCTCATGGCAGCACTGGCAGAAGTAGCGACCAATGTATTCGCAGTACCGCAGTCTCTTAATGTACCCTTTATATCAAAATCAAAAAGGAAGATACCATATTCAGGGCTGCACTGAACCACGACCCCATACTTCATAAACTGGTATCACTTTACTTGAGGGGGCACAAGTAACTTAGTAACTCAGTTACTACTCAAGTACAAATCATGAACAAACACTTTGTTTCTGGTCAATTAATACATTAAGTAAGAGTGTGCTAATACATTATTTGTTTCCCTTCAAACTGATAAGTTGTATGAAAGATGAATGAATGGATGGACTCTGTTTTGACTTGGATGACTACTGACTGGCAAAAACACATCCATCTTCTTATTCTAGTTCGGGTCTCTGGGAGCCAAAAAGATTTTCTTTACCTAATCTTAATGCGTTTCATTTATATAGCGCTTTTGAAAAGAAGACATTAACAGTATTGCATTAAGTTAAAACAGACTATTTTCATTTTATGCAGCTTACAGTGTTACCACTGAGATAACAGCAGTATGAAAAACAGCTAAATGGAAATAATAAATAATGAAGCAGATTGTCAAGGAAGCTTCTCCTGAACTATATTCAACCTGTTTTCTGAGAATTTCTTTTTTTGGGGAAAAAAAAATAGCTGAAGAACTAGCACGAAAGTTCATGCCCTGGCAACGCTCGTCTACAGCAGATCAAATAAAACTTCTTAGTGACCGCATGCTTTCACTTTCAGAGGCGCAGGAGCGGCCTGTGACCGCCATACACAATACCTGGGTCTGCACGGGTGCCGCAGCCAGAGCAGCGGTAGTTCTGCTTGGCCACAACCACCTTTCTCCTAGGAAAGAGGACAAACGGGATGTGACGCAGAGGAAAGTGGGAGGAGCCTGTCACGTTAAACGGGAGAGATATTTTGCTTCAGTGTGACTTACTTCGGTGTCGGGTGTATGTTGAAAATGATCTGGGGTCTCGGTGGGGCCCACTCTAGATTACCACGGACACGGATGCGCAGCTTGTAGACGTCGGCATGCTCGCCGTCGTCGGGGGAGATGGGAAGCGAATCTGGGATTGGCAGGAGCTGAGGAGATGCACAGTGGGTATCAGCAGCAAGAACTCACTGAAGAACTGACTAAATTTATACTCCGTACAGGAGAACCGCACATTCATATTACTGAAGAGAATATTTCCAAAATTCTGCTTTTTGTTGTTTTAGAGATGACAACCAATGACTTAAAGTCAGGCTTCCTCATCATATGTTACAGTTTTGGCAACCAAAACTCACTCAGTCTTCAAGTAATCTAACAAAGTACTTTAATGTAAATTTTGGCTTTTAATAAATATTCAGATTTGGCAGAATGCCATCAGGGTCACACCACTGCTTGAAGACCATTCTGACACTCCTCAAAAGCTCCATTCCACCCCACCTTCTGGGGTGCTTCATGCTCTGGGACCACCCAGTCCAGCTCAGAGGCGGTGGGCAGCTGCATGCCCTCGAACTGCTTCAGGAGCCCCATGGCCACTGCCTCGGCGGAACCGGACTGAAGGAAGGAGTGTGTGCTGCAGGGACAGAGGCAGAACCGGACTGAAGGAAGGAGTGTGTGCTGCAGGGACAGAGGCGGAACCGGACTGAAGGAAGGAGTGTGTGCTGCAGGGACAGAGGCGGAACAGGACAGTGTTTCCATATTTTTGCTAGCGGCAACTGGGAGGGAGCAAAATCATGGACTGGCTGTGGGTCCCCGAGGACCGGACTGGGAAACACTGCTCTAGGGAGAGGGTCTATGAACCTGCACGTCCCTCAGCCAGAGGAAAAGGAGAGAAAGCAGGATAAAGACTGATGGGAGACTCACGTAGAGGTGGAACTCAAGAGCGACTTGCTGCACGACCAGGCGGCATCTCCATCTGGAAGGAAGTCGTGAAGAAGATGGGGCAGATGAAAAAACACTCTTGGTTCTTGTTTATAAAGAACTTCCCCACGACGTGAGAAGGCCCAACCAAGATGAATTTATGTGTTTTTCCCTTACAATCAGAAAGTGATATAGATGTAAGGTACAGCTATTTCCAAAGGGAGAGCTGGCTAGAAGCTGCTGTAGTAACTGACCTCTGTGTAATCCTATATCACCAGCAGAAGTGGGTAGTTCAGATCCAGAGAGTAAAAATCCAGACCAAGGTTTTGCTTCAACCCACAGTTGAGTACTCTGTGAATGTGGCTCTTTATACTCAACTGGTTGGTTGAAACAAAATCTTGGTCTGGACTTTCACTCTCTGGGTCGGAATTACCCACCTCTGACCATCAGGCCAAAACACACATCTTTTCAAATAAATGCCAGCTAAACGCCACTAAATACAGACATATTTCCTGCAATTAAATTTGCCCAAACAGCTCTTTCCTGGGGCTTAACTCAAATGTAAGTCAATGGATTTTTAATTCAGAAATGATATTGCAAAAAAGCCAAGGGGGTTAACATGTTGCCTTAAAAGCAAACACCATGACACAGATATAATACATTTAATCTCAAACTGAGGATTTAAAACAATGTCACCCAAGGCAAATTTAGATTAAAAGTATGTAATATTTAATACACTATAGGCCTACAGAGATATAGCAACAAATACAGAAATGTAAAAAGACATGAATTTTAAGTCAAGGACTATGTTGTGTAAGCATGTTAACTTTATGTGGTCTGCCACTTCATGGTTGAGTTTCTGTTGTTCTTAAACACTTCTGTTTTGCAATAATACCACTTACAGTTGACAGTGGACTATCCAGCAGCTAAGAAGTTTCATGAACTGACATCGCAAAGGTGGCATCCTATGAGTGTGCCACGCTTTAATCCACTGAGCTCTTCAGAACGGCCCATTCTTTCACAAGTGTTTGTAAAGCAGTCGGGGTTTCAGACTGTGTTAAAGGGCATCTTTGATGAGTGATGCCTACAGCGCCAGTTCATGCCACCCATAATAATATCTAATGGTAAACAAATGCAGGCAAGGCTGCAACTACAGCTGCAGAGGGCTAAACCACAGGCTGTAAGCAAGGGAAGTAAAAGCAAGAGGAACACAAACCTTTTTCCAAGGGAACCCTAAAGAGCTGACAACAAACGACACAAATTATTCAAATACGTGAGAATGGAAAGTTGACCACAACCTTTGGGTACATGCATAAATCAGGCCAGTGCATCTGGGCCAAAGCTCGTATGCAGACAGAGCAACCAAAAGGCATAGGCTGCCACCCCCCCTAAAGTCAGTCCAGCAGGACCCCCAAGCCATCCGACCTTCCCTCTCCTTCGAGATGAGGTCGGAGAGAGAGAGAGGGACAGCCTGCTCCAAGACAACAGTATTGGTGACCTGCCCTCAGCACCAGGGGTGTAGCAATTCATCACCTGCATGCTCTTTATTGATCTGTGTTAAAATGAAAAATTAAACACTTGGACCTACTAGTATATCTTTCTTTTAGAAATTCCACTAAAATCATCTTGTGTTTCACTGTATTGAAAATATTGATCATGTATTACTGAATCGAACCGATTCATATCGTATCAGAGTAACATTTCAAATATCGTCACATATCATGTCGCTACCTTACAAATTCAAAATCAAATCATAATGATTTACACCCCTACTCAGCACTATCCAACGGACAGGGACTTTACTGAGAGCAGATTAAAATCACACCGATCATTAACTTGTAGATATAGCTGTTTCAGGACAGTATTTGATTAAAGGTTTCTGTAAATCCACAAGTCGGGTTACATAAATCTCTCACACAAGCATATACACAAAATGCACACTTACGGCAGGTAAACAATTCATATTTCACTGTTACCAATTACTGTTTACACAAAGATGGCTAAAGTTATCGTGCATTTTTTCTGCTCCGCTGTTCTGCGTGAAAGTCTTAACAAGCCAGGGAATTTCAAAACAGTCAGAGGAGAAGCAAAATATCAGAGCAAATGGGCAAGGTTTGTGCATTAGAGCTCATCATTTGTAAGCCAAGCTCTACGTTACGGTTTGTAAAAAGATCCGAGTTAAATGTCCGCTAAACACGGCGACTCAATCCGCATTCGATCCTAAAGCATGGTCTAGTGCAGGGGTTTCCAAAGTGGGGGTCACGAGATGATTTCCAGAGTATGTTGATTAAAATAAAAAAAAAAAAACAGATAATTAAAAGATGTGGTAACCACAGCAGAAACCAGTCGATTACGATAAATTTACCGTATCGCAAAGGACCCTCTGGTCGAAAAAAAGGATGGCGTTGAGTCTCTGGTACTGGGCTGAAAAGTTTGGTTTGAAGTTTTAATAAAATACAGTAACACTAAGATACAGTGGCTGAACCGTAGGGGCAAGTTTAATGACCATAATGGACACCTTATTATATTTACTTGGAGTAAAAGACAAAACAATGCGCTGTATAAACTGAATTCTGTAAATTTCGCTCATGCTTCCCCCAGACACCTACTCCAAAGCCAGCATCCCTGACTGGATAAAAGAGCGATTCTCATAAATGAAATGCAACATGCCTTCCATGCATAAAACAAATTCCACAGACTTTAACAATAGGGCAGTGAGGAAGTCCACCCCCATACTGTGAAGCTTCACAAACAAACAGAGCTCTGTATAATCCCCATAACTACAGTCCGTCTCACCATGTTTGGGAAGAAGCCAGTGGAGAATGTAAGGCTTGTCAGAGCTTCCGAAATGTCGCAAATCTCAGGCTTTGCCTGGGACTCACAATACATGCTGTGACCACAGTCCTCCTGGATATTTTCACATAGAGTATAACTTAGCTGCCCACAGAATCTCCTTTATCCCTTAAAAATGGTAAACAATACAATTAGCGCCCGCCTGCCCCCTGTCGCTCGCATTACCTTTCATCTCGCACTCTTCACCCTCTTCAGTAGAACCGGACTCAGATAGGAAGGAACACTGGGAACTCTGTCCAGATCCGCTGCTGTCAGTGGAGGGGAAAGCTGATGGGAAAGAGCAAAACAGAACAAAAAATCACGCAAGATTATTGACACATGGAGTTCACCCACTACTGCGGTACATGAGCTCTCTGTGGCTGTGATCGGAAGCCCCGCCCTTGGCAGAACAGTCACATGTCCGTGGGCCCTTGAGCAAGGCCCCTAACCACCAGCTCCAGGGGCCCCACATCATGGCTCACCCTGCACTGTGGCCCCCAAGCTATGGAGGGCAAGATTGGGTAGGCAAAGAGGAGGATTCCAAAGTAGCTGTACTCATACTTGTGCAAATAAAATAAAAATAGATACTTTTATTGATCCTCATGGGGAAATTGTCTTTACGCCTCCCTCAACTTCCTCTTTTTCGTAGAGCAAGCTGTCCGCGAAGGGCAGCCACCCGTAGCAGCGCCCAGGGAGCTGGGGGTTAAGGGCCTTGCTCAAGGACCTGCAGACGTGCTGAGGCTGGGTTTGAACCGGCAACCTTCTGATTGCAGGTACACAGGCTTAGGGCAGCGTGCGGCTCAGTGGGCTAAGAAAAGGATTTATTATTATTTTATCAGAAGACAATAAGGACAACAAAAATGACACATGACTGAATCAAGTAGTGAGATGGTTAAGAATCAGGACTCTTTACCGATAAATCACAAGTCTGAGTCTCGGATGACCTTGAGAGAGGTACTTAATCACTGAGCCAAACAGCCATAGGAAGGAGCATTTCTGTCACAGGACATGCAAATAAATGATAATAGAAGTGTGAGGGATTCAGACAGGCGTTACACTCACCTTCCGATGTCTGAGCAGCGGACTGAAGCTGGTCCTTCCTGATCTGCTGCCTGCGCAGATGGATCTTCTGCTTCAGCTGCTGAATCTCATCGTCATTCTCCTCCTCATACTCTTCCTCACCGCGGGGCATGTTGCACTTCATAAGTTCGATGGCTGCAATCAGTAGCTCCGAAATGTTGAAATGGGCATTCTCCTAAGGAAAGATTCCGAACTTGTGACACTGACAAACTCACAAAACAGCTGAGTATCGGATGAAGACCAACCCTGTGCTAGTCTACTATCAGTCAATCAATCTATCTATTTATCAGTCTAACCATTGGGTTTACAAAGTACTTTTTTGACATTTAAAAGAAGGGGATTAAAATAAGCATAACAATAAACCACAAAAAATAAAAACAGAATCAGGACAGACAGACAGACAGAACGCAAGACTATGACCACCCACATTCTCGGTAAGGGACCACCCACTCTGGTGTCTGTAAGGGACCACCCGCTCTGGTCCTCATGCAAGGGGACACAAACCCCTGCCACGCTGAGCCCCAAACCCAGTGTCCTCTGGGGAACTGGAGCCCCAGAGTATTCATGTTACCTTCTCCAGGTCTGCGCAGCTGCCGTAGTCCTGCTCATTGAGAAAGTTGACCAGACTCTGCCCTTTCGACGGCTTCGGGAAGATTCCCTCTGACACGCTACTGTACTGCGAGCCATCTGAAGAGACAGGTTCACAGAGACGCATACGGCAATACGGCCGTCAACGCTGGGACATATTGCACTTCCCATCCACCACGCTGACAGCTCCGGGCCTGTCAGTACAGACACTCGCTTACCAGGCTGTAAGCAAACAGAAAGGGTGCTGCTGTATACTTTTCCAGGGTACATAATATCAGCTGATCCTAAAAGACACACAAAGACAACTGTAATCAACAGAGAAGTGGGTAGTATATTCTACACACATGCAAAAAAATGAAACAATCAAATGATCAAGTGAAAACGGCAAAAAAATGCTCAAAATATCTATAAAATAAAATAACCAGACAGTGGCATTCTTCACCAACATAGTCATAGTTTGTTGCCATGCGATTTCTGCGTGTTATATCTTGTTACATATTACACACGATCACACAAAGACGTGAGGATGAAGCACAAACATGCTGAATTTAACTTTTCTGGCTTATTCCACCACTTCTTATTCAACAAAAAGAAGACAGTCAGAAACATAACACATGCGACTGGAACCCGACCAGCCAAATCCATAAATCTGAGAAAAAATGACAAACATAATGGGAGAGACGACTCAGTCACAATAAATGCATGGCAGTCATACCGAATGGAGAGAGAGAGAATTACTGCGGGGACTGCTACCGCATTCCCTATTATAATGGTGCTCTTGTTTCCCCCGCCTTCATGGAGGAGAAGGAGGGATAACGGCAGATTAAGCGAAAGAGAACGTGTTTTACCAGCTGTGAGGGAGAAAAGGGGATTAGAGATGGAAAGGCAGCAGAAAACAGAGTGATGCAGAACGAAACTGTGCGGTCAGCTGAAATAAAAAGCGGAAGTGATCGTTCAGAATGAGTGGAAACACACCACCACATAGCAGATGCCTCCAGACCCAAACCAGACCATCTATTTAATCGGCAGCCTTTCCTTCCCATACCTTGACTGCGCTCCTGTACCAGGCCCGTGTCAGAATATGACCTGCAGTGACCCTTGTAGGCCAGGCCAGGCTCCCCTTGACCTTCGGAATACGAGGACCGGCGACGGGGAGCCACGCCTATGATATCCCAAGTAGTGGTTGAAGGAACCACATGTCCATTGGCACTTGGAGAACTTTTGGAGCTCTGAAGGAGCTGGTGGGCCCGGCTGCCGACGGCAAGGTAGCCCGGCCCACCCTCGAAATCCCCACCCCTTGCATCTGCGACTTCCACTTCTGCCGAGGTGCCGGGCCCTGACTGAGGCATCTGGGCTGCTGCCACCAAACGGCCGAGATCTGGCGAATCCTTTTCATCGGCACTGTCAGACCACAGCGCTGGCCAAGAAGCAGCAGAGGTTGGAGGTTCTGTGAGAGGCACACAGAGGGAAAAACAGTAGAGTATCGTGTTAACAATAGCAAACAAAAGTGACACAGCACATCACAAAAAAACAGCAAAAGGGCAACAAACTCATGTACTGTGGGAACCAAACACACTACAATGCCACAGCACTGCATTTTATGGAATATATTTTTAAATCAGTTTGAAAGCTTGGCTAACGGTTTTGCATGTGGTGACTAACACAATGATCACATACATATGTAGTTTTGGGTGTAAAATTATTACCATGGGAAACTACATAATTTATTTTTACCAACAAGACTAATGCAACTGAAAACTGTGCCGAATGATGACAATTCTACGAAATCATTTGCATACATGTACTAAAAACCTTTTGAAATTTGTGCGAAACAATGAGAAATCATAGTATGCTTTGCTGTGCAGAAGTGACATTATGATGTAGGGATTATACTTGTTGTTTGCAAATGTTAATTGTCACCTGAGAAATGCTCCAAAGCAACTGAGAAAAACTGTAATATTTACCAGTCAATTTAATTACAATGAAATGTGCTTAGCATTCGCTGCACCCCGTGTGCCTGATATTCACTCTCACCGCCATTTCCCCACCTTGGCACAGTTATATTTGGGAGTGATACCTGGGCAGCCATCTCTCTGAGGACCTCGGGATGCGGCGAATTGTCTGATGAGTGATCTTTGGTGCTCCGCCCCCTTTGACTCGCTGTGGTGCCACAGCTGAGGACACAGAGTCACAGTCACACAATGACGTCTGCCAGGGGCAGCCGCAGTGGCCATTAATATATGAGGCAAAATGCTGGATTTAGTCCTTAACTTGGACTCTGGCAAAAAGCCAGGTCCTGCAGACAGACAACTGTATCACTGATAAAACGAATAATACAAGCAATGCGACACAAAGGCGGGACACATTTTGATGAACTGCTCCTCTTGAGCATAGCCTATGTTCAGAGGAGACTCTGCTTACTGCTTGGGATGTTAAATAGCATAAGAAGAAAAATTTGGGAATAAATAGATATGGGAGATGACTAACAAAACAGATTTAGTAAATAATATTTACTAATTACTGACATCATATGTGCAATATGTGTAACTGTCTGCACATATATTTCATAATTAGCAGTACTAACCACTACTACTATTACTACTATTTATACTACCACTACTATTACTACCAGTACCACTACTACTACAGGTACTACCACTACTATTCCTATCAGAACCACTACTACAACTACTACTACTATTACTACCAACAATACTACTACTAATACCACCACTACCAATAATAATACTACCACTACTACTACATCCAACATGAAAGAAGGAACACTTCTGCAGGTCCTGCATTCCGTCTGCCATTAACACCTGTCAGCTAAATTCACTAAGATTCCCTACTGATCGTCCACTATATATGATTGTTCTTTACATTATGCAATATCCACTGTATGTATGTAACTTGTATATTTATATATACTATGTGTAATATCTGTATATGTGCCATTACATCTGTGCAATTATCCACTGCATGAGTGCAATATGTGTAACTGTTTGCACAAACGTTTCATCATTATTCTTATTTTTGTTTTGTTATAGTATCTTTTTTATATTTATTTTTAAATATAAAAGGCTGTTGTAACAAGTAAATTTGCCCGGTGTGAGATCGATAAAGGGGGCTCTTATCTCGTCTTGTCTCTGTCGTGTCTGTCTTTAAATGCTGAGGATGTATGCTCACCTTGCCAGTGTCAATGAGTGTTAGCAGCTGAAGGTTGTTCTGCTCCACGGCCTCTAGACACCGTAGCATGGCCAACACATAGGGCTCGCTCAGGACAAAGGCGTCATCTGCAGCAGAGCAGGTGGAGGAAGTAACACAGTGCTCCGTACAGGCCAGGTGAGCTCAAAGCTCAGTTTGAAGAAATGAGGAGGAGCGAGCTAACAGGCCCACACTGATCTCAGACCAGTGCCATTGTTTAGGATAGCCGACGGTAAACTCAAGGAGCGCATTAGGGCCCGAAGCAACCAACGCATTTGGCAAGCGGGTGCAGGAGCGGCCGTACCATTATAGAACTTGCGGGTGTGACTGTAGTGTTTCAGTAAAGGCTGCAGCTGCGCAGACAGGCAGTGAAGCTGCAGACTGTGGAGCAGCCAGCGGCCAGCCTTGTGACCCTCCCCCACATCCAGCAGCCCGTTACTATGGACTGGCTCCAAGTGATTAAACTACAGAAAAACCACAGGGAGAGAACATGTTAATCTGCTATAGTGAAGCAGCATAACCTCCCAGAAAGAGATCGTCTGACTAGAACATATGAATATAAACCGCAATCCTTAAAACAAATTAGTTAAGCCTAGCAAAGGTGTAGAAGAAGTAATGTAAATTAGTGAGTAATTGCAATGGCATTTCCTCATTCCGCATTTCATGTTATAACGTGTCATGGCAACAAAATTACTGGCTACTGAACTTTCATGGCCTAGAGACACTACATCTTATTGGTTGTCACCCGGCAACATTCCTGTTTAAAGTCATAGCCTATGAATGGTTTGCTGGGGTGTTGTCACACCGCACCTGTTCGACGTGCGAGGCCAGCTGTGGACAGATGTAGCGCACGCACCAAACGAACGGCCAGTAGTCTTTCTGCTTGCTGTGGACCTGCAACACGACAGGACGTCGCATTATCCCCGGGGAACTTTCTCTGCTGTACAAAACAATAATTACCACATCCCATTCATTTGTAAAAATCACATACAAAATAAATGCCTGCACAATACTGTAATGGTACTGATCCCTTTTCCATGATAATCAGCAGAGCATTGATTCTTAATGGAAACTAATTAGAGTAATATAACTAGCCTCTGAATTACAGGTATAATAGGGAGTAACAAGTACCCTACAATATAATACACCAATTAATTATTAAGCTTATTATTTCTCACTGTTTCTCAGCAAAACTGCAGCCACTGATGGATCAGAATATTACCCCCCCCCCCCCCGATTATTTACTATAAAATTGCTGTGCCCATCTTGCAAAGACACAACATATCAAACATATGTTGTGTTAAATATTTGACCAATCACATTGCAGACTGCAAGTCAGTTGTCATTGGGTGTTTCCCAATATGCGTACTTGACCATACTTGTGTTCTCGTGTAGCCGTTTTACGCTTCTATTGCTGAAGACTAGTTCCAATACTTAGGAACAGACGTACAGAGGGCTGAAAAATCCCCAGACGTCATTCTTGCTCCGCCCCAAATATCAAGGATGCATCGGTTGCATCCTCCCCAAGCGCGACCTCCTGTATCCCATGATTCACTGCTCCTCAAGTTCATTCCTGGAAGGCAAGTTAGCATGACCATTCTTGCTGAGACCACAAACAAGAACTTTGCTTTCTTGGTATTGAGAAACACCCAGTGTCTCCTCATAACTAGCTCTAATGTCTCGATTCTTTTGATTGTTCATGACAAAGGGAATCAGATGAATCTTAAACTATTATAGGGTGACCAGATAATCCATGTCAGGGAGGACACTCTGAGCTAGGACAGGAATTGTAAATTACCATTTCAATTAAACGGACTTGGATTTCACTTGAGCACCGAGTTCTTGCTGTGTGTTGATTGGTCAGTCTCCTATAAGCATGCATGTGTCACTAATGCTAATGTAAAACAGCTGGATGAGTCTTTCAGTCAAGGAAACAAACCAGTCAAAGCACAAGAAGAGCTGAACTCTTTAGCCGAGCACAGGAGCCTTTTAATTTGGAAGTAGTTTGTAAAACCCGAAGTAGCTCAAAGTGTCCTCCCTGACATGGATTATCTGGTCACCCTAAACTATTACATCTTGGCTTGCTATCTTGTTGAAAGCACTAATTCTATCTTGAAAATTTGAGCTTCATTTTTTTCATGGAGCACAGTTACCTTACATGTGCAATATATAATGTTATCAGTCAAAAGTGAAGATATTAAAAGCGAATTTCTTTAGCTAGATGACATTAGCTAGACGACTTTAGCTAGCTACATAGTTAACATACAGCTAGGTGCTCATTGAGGGATTTATACAAGGGATCTGGCAATCTCACAGTGTCAATTCACTTTCAACAGGAGGTGACTGGAAACGTCAAATGAACTCGTAACCGAGTAACGCATATATTTCTAGGCTACTGATAACATCAACATATATAAAGCATCTCTAATAACCCTGCTGATGGTCCCTCTGCAATAAGGAACTTGGCTCTTCACTAATTCACTAGAAACTGAACAGGAAAACTCATGTGTCCCCCACGAGCCCCGAGAACCGACGTTCGAAGACGTCTCACCGTGTCGTTCTTGAGGCCGTGACTGAGGATGTTGTTCATGTCCTTATGCAACCTCTGCAAGCCGCCATAGTGGGACCAGACGTTAGGATTGTTAGTGGACAGCAGCCCCTCCACCGTGGTCTTCAAGCTTAGGAGGAACTTCCAGTGCTCTCGCCTAAAGTGAAGTAAGGCAACAGTAGGGGAAATAATATCCTCCACAGGGAACAAAATGTACAGCAGAAAGTACAGCCTTCCATCATCAAGTCACCAACTTAGACTTACTCATACACAAACTTTGGCAGTTAACATTTGCTAACCAAAGTTGTAACTACAGAAATTATAGTGTTGATGTTCATACAAGCTAGTAATATACATCCATCCATTTTCCATACCACTTGTCCCATTCATGGTCGTGGGGGTTCTGAAGCCTATGGACACAGCAACCAACCCAGGGTGGGGCGCCAACCCATCGCAAGGCACACTCACACACCATTCACTCACACTCACACACCATTCACTCACACACCATACACTCACACACCATACACTCACACACCATTCACTCACACACCATACACTCACACACCATACACTCACACATGCAGGCAATCTATCAGCTTCACTTAACCTCAGTGTGTTTTTGGACTGTGGGGAAAACCCAGAGGAAACCCCAGAACAACTTTGTGAGGACATGCAAACCCTCATACAATGGTGAAGACTAGAACCTGGGTCCCAGAAGTATGAGACAACGGTGTTAACATCTGTGCCACCCCTTAATAATATATATTTTAAGTACAAATATATTGTAGCGGTTGCTACAGGTTAGTGCGCGTGGGCAATGCTTCCTGCTCTGGAAGAACGGGGTAAGGATAGGGTTAAGTTTGGGCTCCCATGAGCCTCAGGGGCTGTTTGGTTCAGTTATGAGTGTTTCTGATTATTTTTGTCCAAGTTTGTTCTTGTTTATTAATGTGTTACTTCTGTAAGTTGCAAAGGCCAGTTTATGTAGTTGTGATAAAAGGTTATATTAAGGTGAGGTCACTGTGCCGGAATAAGCCACCCACCATGACAGCGTGTGATATGCAACTTGAAGCAGTAATAGAACAGAGCATTATGACACTCCAGCCATATCTAAAAAAGCCATTATAGCGTGGTACTGTTACTCCGGAATCTAATCTTTGTGAAACAAAGAGTTCTGGCTTTGCCACATTGGCATCGATACCCCGTACTTTTGTTTTCCTGTCCACACCCTTTGCAACAATATTTTGTAATTTGAGTAACACCAGCTGAAACTTTTACATTCTTTAAAAAAAGGAGACAAACAGGTGTATTAAAAAAAAAAGGTTAAAATGAAAAATTTCTTGGAGCAGTTTGAATGATGGAGAAACTAAGAAATATAGGTGGCCCTCGATGGTAAAAGCACTGGGCCAGCTTTCAAACTGCAATTTGGCCTCCATAAAATACAGACAGAGATTTGAAGTGTGCAGATGGCATGTTCATATACACTGCGGCCCAGTGCAAAGTCTGGTCATTGACCCGCAAAAGCACGCTATGGTCAATATTCAGTTCCTTTATTGATCAACTCCCAGCACACTTACACACTTCACACACACAAAATCATAAGCTTAGTGAAAAATAAAGAGGAAAAACTGGCAGGAAAAAAAGAAAACTTTATTTTCAGAGTCAAATTTGGGACTGAAGGTGAAACTCTGAACTAAAATTATATGCAGACTCCTCTGCCAGAAGCCACTTACAGGCTTATTCTCCGGGGTACAGCTCTCAAAGCCATATTGCTCTCTTAGTATTGCTCTGCATTAGCAAATTTGTCAAGAGTGTTTAGGCTATCTTACTGAGACTTTTTACCTTTTAACTGTGTAAAATTACCCTGAAAACAGTCATGATCATCTTCCCGCAGTTAAACTCAGTAGTCAGACTATATACCGTTAATGAAAAACTGCGTTACTGGATATGCCGGGCTGCAGTCATGGCTGTAACGCGCTATCATCATGGTAAACGTTCATTTCAGTTTTAGCAGTCATTTCAGCTGTAATTGAAGAACAACCACCGCTGACTGCATGATCAATCAAAAATCATTAATGTTTTTCCATAAGTAATTCTGCGTCACAAATATTATCAAACAGTTCGGACTTTAATCGGCTTAAATAAATGAATAACCTGATCATAATTTATAGCTACCGTAAGGAGATCATGAAATGACACTGAGCTGAAATGCGTTACGGCGCAAACGTACCTGCCTTCGCCACTTTCTGTCTCCATTACCGTGGACGGGGGTAACAAAACATGAGCAACTAAAATAAAATCATTTATGTCATCGTTTAAACTGTGTCTTCCTAACTGACTATTATAGTAATCATCTCTCCCTTGCTCTTCTCCCAGGAGGAAAACTCCGCTCCGCCCGTCTTCATCACCTCCTACTTCCTCCTCCCAGACTGGGCTGCTTACTGGCAGCCACCAATGTGTTTACTTTTACATAGAATTAAAATGTGACTTTGGTTTCTACATGCTAACGGTAAAATTGATTGTCCCTTGAGTCCAACCACTGCTAGATTTTAGGATGTTATGAACGATCAAGGAAGTAAACTACATGGTTTCCGCGCGTTTCGGCAAAATCGCCAGAAACTGAAACTTCCATGTGCGTTAAGCGTCCCGCCACGTGACCTTGCTGCAGGTTGTTTATTACATCTGTCAGATGTTTTACATATCTATTTGAGTCGTTTTCCATATATAGTCGTTCGTTAGGCTACTTGTTTGAGTGCGCCTGAAAAATCTTTCTGCTCCATCCACACGTCTGAATCAAGTTGCTGCTGCTTTCGATAGTTAGTGAAGAAAATGCAGCTTAATTACTATTAAACTATATAACCGCAACACATGACACCACAATGCAAAAGAATAATAGGAAGAAGAGTACACATAAAACTTAATAAGGATAATTAAGGATAACAGTGATAAAAGGTAAGGTAGTTAGAATACTAATCACTACAGAGTAACTATTTATAGGTACAGCATTCACCAATGGTGCAAGGGAATGAGCAAGAAATATACTGTGAATTACTGCATACTGTAAATGTAAAAGTTATAATACACTGATATTAAAAATACTATAAATATACTATGAATATACATTTGTAAATACTGAATACAGATGTTGTCTGGGGCTGATATAGCCAATGAAGAGAGAGAAGTTAAGTCAGTTTAATCGAGGACTCGAATAGCCTTTTGGCCTGGGTGTTATGGCGGGGCATGATGAATGAAGGACAATCCACGTAGCAGCTCTCAACAAAAGGGGCTTATTTAACAAAACAGAACAGAAAGGGAGAACCAGAACATAAGGGGACCGCGAGGGGTCAAAACAAAACTGGTAAAACAAACTAAGGCAGAGAGCAACATCAGGAACAGCAATACAAAAGGCAAGAAGGGACACAGGAAGTTACAATAATTGACACGAGATAACTATAATGGCTACACAGCTAACACGGGGAAACAGCCACAATGAATCACTGAGGAGGAGAAGAGCAGGCACTTCAATATACTACTAACAAGCTATGACAGAGGACAGGTGAGAACTGTAACCAATTCAACCAATTACTAAGGGCTCAGGGCAACAAGGAACAAGTGGGCTAAATTACAATGAACGGACATTAGAGACTAGGAAACACTAACATTGACTGTTATCAACACCAGGAGAAATGGAACTGCTGGCCAAATGAAGAAATGGAACACAGGACAGGACCAGACAGCAACCAATCCTGACACCTAGGGGACAAAAGCTTCCCACAGATGTTGACGGATCAAAGCCTACTGAGAAAATAGAGCTGCTTCTGCCCCTTCCTGTACAAAAATATCAAAGGAAAAAACAAACCAAAACATACTGTAATAAAATAGAAATAAATACCTTGGGATTATAGCAAAAAGTAAAACGAAATGCATCCTCTGCATTTAACTCATATGTGACATAGCAGGGGGCAACCAATTCAGCGCCCGGGGAGCAGTGCTTGGGGGGGTATCTTGCTCAGGATACCTCTGGTGCCTTGCTGATTGGCGATTGAAACCAGCAATCTTTCAATTACAAGTGCACTTCCCTAACCATTAAGCCACCACTGCCCTCATCATCGCAAATCCAATTATGGTTAACTCCAGTACATGTGACTCATTGTTCAATAGTGTTCAATTTTATCAGCAAGGGATCTTCAAAGGTTTTATCATTTAGGTTATAATGTACTGGCCTGAGATGTTGACAAAACTTGTATAGCAGGATGTTTGCAGGCAGGTTGGGTTAACTCAGAAAACTGGTCTGGTTTCCGATCCAGTGCGGGAAAGGGTTGGCAATCTCTGCTAAACATAGTTTTCTTTAGTTGGGGACTGCAGTCAGTATAGCCAGCACTGAGTTGGGGGACGACCCACCATGGTATGCAAAATGAAAGATAAATAACTTATTTAGGTGACAGTTCAAATATAGTGTTCTTTCGTTGTGAATAACAACATTTTTATAACAAAGATACAGTATATGCTGTGTATGTTAACATAGGTAGTATGTAATTAAACTGTTACAAACATAAACCTTGGATATCTACAATTGTAACTTGAATTGATGAGTATTAGTGGAGGTGTATCTGAGAATTGGTTGCCTATTCTCCTAGGTAGTAAGTACACAGTTATATTTAAGTTATTACCAATGTAAACGGTCACAACTACATGGTTGGGTTAAAAGGTAACAGTGGAGATTTTTCTTAGTATTTAAGCCATAGTTTCTCCGTATTTACCTCCTTATTACCTGTGGTAATCATCCAATAATATACTGTATTCTACAATTTATGTACTGGGTAATTACTTAGTAATTAGGAGACTGTAATAGGAAGAGTTAACAACATGTTTACAGCAACCTTCCAATCAGGCTTAACACGCTGAGCCACACACTGAAATGATTAACATATTGTTGCTACATTGATGCACTGTGGTTTGTTGTTTTTATGTTACTGTAATATAAAAGGGTAAAATGACAAAGCGCATTAGCAGCAGTGAGGGATGGTTGGGAGAGGCTAACTGGAAGGGACTTTGCAGTCTCAGTCTTCAGTGGCTATTGGGGCTGGCGAGATGGAAACTGCATCTCTAGGGAAGAAGCTGTTTTTCAGCTGAGCTGAAGTTCATGAGAAAGTGGGTCACACAGCAACACAACGAACCCTGAACACACAAGTCCTTCTACCAAAAAATGGTTTAAAGCAGAAGAAACGTCATGTTTTGGAATGGCCAAGTCAAAATCCTTACCTTATTCCTGTTAGAGTATTGTGGAGGGTCCTGAAGCGAGCAGTTCATGAGAGCAGTGAGCAGTTCATGCGAGCAGTGAGCAGTTCATGCGAGCAGTGAGCAGTTCATGCGAGCAGTGAGCAGTTCATGCGAGCAGTGAGCAGTTCATGCGTCCCTGAGCTGAAGCTGTTCTGTAAGGAGGAATGGGCTTAGATTCCTCCAAGCCGATGTGCAGGACTGATCAACAGTTAAGAGAAACATTTAGTCAAAGTTATCGCTGCACAATGAGGGTCACACCACTGACTGACAGCTGAGGTTCACCTGCTTTTTCCACACATATATGTATCAGTGGATTATTTTCCTCAATAAATAAAAGAAGAACTACAATGTTTTAGTTACATTTATTTAACTGGGTTCTCTTTATCTAGTTTAAGGATATATTTGAAAAGCTATTGTTTTACATCATATTTATGTAGAAACAGAAAAAAAACTTTCTAGCACCACTGTATGTATGTGAATTTATTTGAATTTGATTCCATTTTAATTCTACATCCTTAAATTCAAATTCTAATTGCAATTCTACATCCTGTATTCAACCATAATTCAAATTCAATTCAAATTCATAAATTGAATTGGAATTTTAAGGTCATTCTAAATGGTGCACAACCCTGATTTCAACATTGTTTATCTATTTTCCTATATCCAGCTGCAAACAAAATTTTATATGGTACCACATTAATACTATGAAAATGTGAAGCATTGGGACTACTTTTCAGGTAAAATTTTACACAAAAGTGACTTATTAGCTAATAAAATAATCTATAAATATTTGCTGGAAGGTAATATTCAATTACAGTAGAATAGCATGTCATACAGATGGTGTACATCTTACAGCCGCTAGGTGGAGCACAAATCCAATTTTTCATGCTCAGATTTAAGCTGCGCAGCTGTTGTACCTGACCAGGGTTATTATGTGATTGACGTCACTGTATTCTGGCGCGTGAAAATTCTCCTTATATCTGTGTTACTTTTAAGGGTGCATAATATGATCTTAAAAGCACCAGGGAAGAGCTGATTTACTTATTTAGCCATATGATTACATTTAATCATCTATTTGCTTGTATGCTTCAAGATAATTTGGTTAATTCAGTGTGTTGGCAAAGCACTCTGATGGATGCTAAGAAAGGCATCTGACCCAGTGGGATGAACAGTAGTAAATTGGCAGCAGAAAAAAAAAAATTAATCGTTTCCTCAATGACTGTTGTATTTCTATAGAATATTTAACTAGATGACACCAACTATTCAATCTAACAGTACAAGGTCTGCATGCTATCATCAAATAATAGTATTTGTTTTCTAAAATTTTAGATTCACACATAACCATTTTAAATCAATAATCTATAAGTTGCATTTATTGTCAGTAGTATTTTCTTTTAGCAATGGAAATCTTTACTCCAAGTAAACTAAAAATATACCGTCATATGATTCACTTTGGATGATCCTCCTAAACCCTTATTACATCTTAATATAACGTGCAGGTTAAGAGAAGCGTGTTGCTGCAGTCAGGAGTCGAATGCCGAGTGGGCGGGGCAACGTGGGAGGGGTTTATAACCGTTACCATGTGACACTCCAACCCTAACCATAAACCCCTCCTACTCAACACTGTCCCTCCCACTCGACGCTCTGCTCCCAGCTGCAGTGACATACAGTTGTATTTAAAACAACAGCAGTCCGACATCACTAACCTGATCAATCACAGTTTTTGGTAGAAATTATATTTACCTGGCAAATAATTTAGTAGTAGGTATAGTATAGTAATAGAAAACCAACAGACCCAACAGTCATGACATGCATGCAGCTGATTCTGTGTAACTGAATCATTAATTGAAAGGGGCGTGTTCAAAATAATAGCAGCGTGGAGTCAGTTATTGAGGTCATTCATTCTCCGAAAACACAGGTGTCAATTACGGCCCTTATTTAAGGAAAGGTGGCAGCAGATGCTGTACATGCTGCTTATAGTGCAATTCTCTCTGAAAACCTGAGTAAAATGCGTCGATCCAGACACTGTGCATAAGAACAGCGCATTTTGATTGGAGAGGGATAAACATATAAAGAAGTGCAGAAAATCACTTTCTGTAAAGGAATAGCACAAATTTGATAAATCATGTTTTGATTTGGAACAGAATGTGCAGTGTTTCCAATGCATTTGCTTGTATGGAAATAAAGCTAATTATAAGGATTTTGAGCTGTATTCACTTCTTAAAACACACTGCTATTATTCTGAACACAAGTGTATACTTGGGTAAACCGCTAAGAGATGTACTAAACACCTTTCCTTTCTTACATTCTGATGAAATAGCAGGCAAGTTTCTCCAGTGACCAGTTTACTCTTGGGTTAACAGGTTAACCGATTGTGTTAAAATGCACAAAGACCATGTCTGAAGATATACCTAAATTTTCCCCATTTAGGAAACACTGTGCTCGATATTTATGAACCACAGAGATCATGCGATTTTCCATTAAAACACACAGACGACCATCTGGAATTCTGATTGTTGCATTTATTAAATACATTAAAATTTGCAATGTAACAAAACTTTTCTGCATATGAAATTCAAAACACAATTTACATGAACAAAAAGATGGCTCACTTCATTTTATCCATCGAGCGCGTTTGTAACACCAGGACTCTCCTCCACCAAGATCTCCGTCGATGCCAGCTCTTCGCTCTAACATCTTTCCATTTCCATTGTTCACAGACTACTTTGTTACAATAAAGAGTGCTAAACCAAAACATGAGGTAAGAAAATGGTTTGAAGATTATAGATCATGCAGAGCATGCTAAACGGCAAAAAGAGGGGAGGAAAAACAAGACAAAAAGTAAATAAAAAAAAAAAAAGAAAGAAAAAAAAAAGAAGAGCAACATAAAGGAAGTGCATTACAAAGTAAAAACTGAATTTACAGCTTTGCTTCTTTGGTTACAAAGTAGGCTGAACAATTTCACAGCTTTTTTTTATTTTTTTGATTCCCTCCACCCGAATAATATGCACAAGTTGTTTACTTATGCACAAGTCTTTTTTTCCAAGACGGGGAAGTATGGCGATTACCTTTCCATTCCATAGATAAAGAAACTAGCAAAAGAAATGAACTTTTTCGTATTTATCAAAATAGTTCACCAAAGATTCATTTAAGATTTTATGTGACAAGAACTTGTGTTTAATGTACAAACGTGCCATGTTTTTAATACTTTATACTATACAAAATGTACACTCAAACTGGATCTTAACTATTTGCCTTTAGTGTTAGAATTATGCCAGGATTGACTTTATTGCCCAGATATTTAAATAGATTATGCAATACACCGCCATATCAATGCATAACCAATTGTCTTACATATCAAATGTTCAAAATCCAATATTTTTAAGAATGGTTCTGTGACATTGTTCATTTACATTATGAAAATAGCAGCCCAGTAATAAATAAAACAGAGTATAATTGAACTATGGATTTTATGGATTGGATTCATGTTGAAACATAGTGGCCCCTAAAATCTCAACTCTCCAGAAAACAGAAAGGCTCAAAGTTGACCTCCGTGTAGAACGGAGCTCTCATCTCGCTCGGATCCTCGTCTTGACCTTGGTAATTGCTCTTCCGCACATCATGACCATTCACTCCAGCCCATCGGGACAGTCCCATAACTGGCCCCTAGGGTCCAGGCCCAGTGTCACCTCGCGTCGCCATCTGCTCAGCCCTCATCCCGTGTTGCAGTTAACACCCCCTGGACAAGGCCTGCCCCAGCGTGAGGTTTCAAGCCAAAAGAAAGCTCTCACACAATGATTGTCTAATACTGGGACGGACAAACAGCATATACACCGAAGCTCTTCACAGGTTGAAGACCGATGGCAAACAAGACAGGCGTTTTAATCTTTTTTTTTTTTCCTTTTAAATTGCAGACTAAACTTTTTTTCCTCGCCCACATTTTGTCTGTGGGTAATAAAAATGCACTTCACGCTGAGGAGACATTAGGCTGCAGGGGGAGGGTCACCGGCTGAACGGCTTCCGGGGGGGCCGCGCTGACTGGGAGTTGCTGTGGAGGAGTGCTGTTACACTGGCTGTTCGGCTGGACTGTGAGCTGAGACAGCTGCTCATTGTTGGCCAGCGATTTCAACACTGCATTCTCCCTCTCCAGCACAGAGTTTCTCTCACAGAGCTCTTTTATCTGTTCTTTCAAGACCTCAACCTCCTCGCGAACAGCATACATTAAATGGCTTTTCACCAAATCCTGTGATGTGAAGAGGAAAAACATAAATGTTTATAAAGCCATGACAGGAACATAAGCAACAATCACATAAGGCTCAATCAAAATGTAAAAATGACTGCTACTATTATTTCTTCAAAGTAATTTACATAACAGAAGGCTTTGTGGGAAAGTTGCATAGTCATAAGCAGGCAAAGTTTCATTGATCACAAAAAAAGCCAATTATGATTGACAAATACAACTTACCATTGCTTGCTCTATTTTGTTATCAATGGCTACAATACTTGCTCCAGATGCACTAGAAAATAGAAGGAAAAAAAACACATTAAATCACAAGAAATTGGAAAAATGTGGATATTACACCCTGGGATGTCAGAAAAGGTTCATGTGCACCAGGTTAGCAGTAAAACAGCCAGCAAACCCAGTGCTAGAATTCAATACAGACTGGTTTTGTCCATCTTTGCTGAAAACGCAAAACCATTCAGCTCACTTCACTTGCTGCGTTCTGCACGGTTACTTTTATACAGCAGGGTGCACCTTCGATAGCGATTACAAATACAGACAGTGATCAACATTATATATGTGAGTATTATATTGTCTTTTTACTTTTAGTATCTCTAAGCACGTGAGACCTATGCCTTGGCACAAGATTTTCTCTGGGGATAAATTAAGTTTTTATCAAATATTGCAAGGATCGACATAGGACCGATGCTTGTCATTTATACAATGCACCTCCCGCTCACAGCCTCACGAAAGAAGAAATCTAACATAATAAATCGGGACTCCCAATCTATACCAAACGGGAGAAAGCCCACACTGTACTGGTTTAATGCCAACTAATTAGCCAAAAGAACACTGCAGGAACAAATCAATTTCAACTAAGATCGTGCGCCCCACACGTCGTTAAATAATCTTTCCATCTTCCCTCCCGGTTCGCCAAAAACACCAACCCCCATCGATTTCAGGTCTTAAAAGCAGCACTGAAACATTCCTTTTAAAAATGGCTTTTTTTTTTTTTTTTTAAGGCATTCCTTTAGCGACGGCGTCGGTTACACGTCAGTGTTTCTACGATGACCGCTGTTACAGCGCCAGAAAAACGCAACTCTCTTTACCTCCCCATATACTGACGCGTTTAACTTACAGTGCTCGGTATCCAGGGTATGAGACAGACGGTCAGACATGGTGGCATGACTCCCTTATTTCACCTTTCCTATTGATATTTCCAGTTGATCGGCCTTCGCTCTTGCAGAACAGAGAAGCGCGCATTTCACGCTGAACAAAGAGCCCCACTGTCTGCAAAACGCTAGGCGGCGCTGCAGCTGCATGGATATAACGTTACTGGGGTTGTCCGTAAATAATAATAAAAAAAAATCACTGGCGTTTAATCAAAGCGATAGAAAGTGTATTTGCGCGAACTAACAAACAGACATTTAAAAAGTTATTACTGCCATGTTATAGTATAAACGGTGAATGTTTTGGCGGACACTGCAAACAGAAACCTTGCATTAGTTGGCCAAGCAGCGTGCGTAGATATCGGCAAGTTGTCAGCAAAGACAATTGAAGCACAAATTTATTGATTTCTAAAATGCGGAACCAGGCAACACTATGAATATATTTAAAAACAAAATCTAAAGGGAAATTCAACAATTAAAATACACGCCATTGCTCAGAGATCCGTACGTGACAAGCAGCAGGTAGTCCGAAGCGCGTACGTGGAGACCCCAACATTATAACCAACATGACATGACGTATGTCTTTAAAGCTTAGTTATTATTATTTTTATTATTTAAAAAAAAAAAAAAAAACTAGATACACAATTAATGGTAACTAATGCAGTAATACTGTGTTCTCAGTCGACGCGTTTTAAGATTAGACTGTACTTCTTCGTTTTAGTCGTAAAACTTAAAATTCGTTTAAAAAAAAAAAAAAAAAGTCAGAAAAATAAAAATAAGATACCTGAGCCGACTTCTGCATGAGCCAAAGTTCCCTGAATATGTGGGTGAGGATCCAGGTGAACAAGTCAATCTGTAAGTCATCTTACTGCGCATATTCACCTTTAAGGTCTGCTTACAGATCTGTTAAATTACACTAAGTGCTGTTGGTAACGTTGTAGAAGATTATGACGTTAGGGAACAACTCGTCTATTTTAAAAGGAGTCATATGAACAAAATAAATAGGGTTGGGAGGGGTTTGCTGCACGGCTGCACGCCCCCACCACGTGAACGGCATCTAGGGCGACGAAAATACTGTACCGTCCCAAGACATACTAATAGTAGCACGTTTACGTTCTTAATTTAACAGCAATTCCATTTTATTCCCGTGAATACTTGTATAATTATAATGCAGTACGATTTTAAAATGGGCATGATAGATCTTTCCCTCGTCAACTTGAAATCTCTCCCCATTCAGGAAAAAAGGATTGATCATTGAATAAAAATGTTCTACTAAAACATATACCACGAAAGGCTACATTTAACGCGAATTTAACACCAAGTACTTCAAGTTAAACCCGGAACACGCGAAATAAATATTTAAATAGGACAGGTCCGACGTCGTCTTACGATTTCAACCCGCGTTGCCATCTTCTTTCAAAAGTTTCAAACAGGAAATATAGAATGCAGTTCTATTTTCTCAATAACAAAAAAAAAACAACAATCCAATGGAAGCAAAGGACAGCTCTGTACCAATGCAAATATTTCAATTATTAAGTCGTTCTCCAAATCTCCCGTTCACTTCTGCAAATCTGTCAGGGTTAAGGTGACATTAACCTCTTTGTGCCCCGTGGTCAAACAGTCTGTCAGGAGGCATTTCAACTCACTGTCATTCCAGTAACCCTATTAAAGGGCAGAAGGGAAACATTTTTTCCCCTACTGTTCCACATTTTAAGGTTGCCTGCATTTCACAAAAAAAGCAGAACTACAATTAACGAAGAGAATTCATAAAACCCGTATGAACACAACCCCATAAATATAAGCAAGAATCAATATTTGGTCGCTGAAAGTTACTGACAGAAGATTGCGGGGAATACTGATTTACATAGCTGAAGAATGGGGGATTTGATTTTACCATGTGAAAAGCAATCCTTGCGATTAAAATTAATACAGCCATCTGCTGGCTGAATTATGTATGAATATATGTATGGCATAACACCGACAAGCGTTTCAACAACTTATTTCTACCATGAACAAGTTTTACTAAAACCGAGCTGCAAAACAACTTAAGGATTAAAAGTAAAATAAATGAAACCGTAACAGAGTGAAGAAAAAGACTAATTCCCCATGACACCATTCGGATAAAAAACCAGCAGTGCTACCGATTCGGTGATGTATCCGATTTGAGAACTATTCGCTTAAGCAGTTAAATACGCTCCATTAAGTTGAAAACTTTATGGAAATCGTTAAAAAAAATAATAATAATTTAAAACTTGCAAAGCTTGAGGCAAATATGCCTACACACTCATGACAATTGGAAATATGCAAGAGAATGGTTAAATTAACAAAATTCTTTGAGCTGCCCCCGTCTAAACAAGGATTGAGTACTTATACTAAACCATTCCGACCCATATTTCCCTCAGTGAAGATTCTGCAAAACAAAGATAAGCTGGCTTAGGGAGTCTGGAGATGGACAACTTTATAATGAAGCTTTCATTTAAATGCAAATGCTAACTGGTAAACAGGTGAAAGATGCCTGTATAAAGCAGACCTTCCGTTTACTTGTACGTGACTTTAGCCCCATTGCACCGACTTTTCGCATAGTACAGTAATGTGCCTGAACATGGAGGAGTACGCTAAATATTTGGCTAACCCATGGGCTCCATTTTGGAAGTGCTAATTTTTAGGGGGTAATGAAGAAAAACAAACCGGAATGGGAAGTTCAGTCCAAATGTCTACGATACGTCTGCAATGATGATTCAAAACCCTCAACTGAGCTCAAATTTAACGAGGGAAACAGGGAGGGGAAAAAAATCCAAAAATGGATTAAGCATTCATAAATGACTGGGCTCATCACATCACTGTTACTGAATATCACTGAACGATTTTATCAGTGTAAGATCTTAACTTTAGTTGCCTAGAGTCGGACTGTACTAGAAAACTAAGACACTTCAATACTGATATCAATCATAACCAATCAGATTAATAGAACCTCAGGAAATCCTTGCATGTTAAAGGTTTCTGTATTGTATCCCTACACCAGATATCTAGACCACTAACATTTGAAGGAAAAAAAAACAAGCGAGATCTTATGAAGTGTGTTGAACATAATGGTGTACTTTAGGCTTGGAATGGTCTGCCCCACAGCCTATTTTTCCGTAAGCCCTGCTGTTGCGTGATGTTGCATAATTCAAGGTTTTTACAGAAAGACATCTGTCATATTATAGCAGAAATGCCCGAATTTGTATTCCGCTTACTCAGATGGCAAAGGCCTATCGCACATTTAATCTGTCGAACCAAGGAATTGTAGCCAAGACACCTACACCTGGGGAAGATTTATATATTTTTTCTCCTCCAAGCAAGGACAAAATATTCCCAGAAAAATAACTAAAATTATTTATATAATAAAACGGCAGAAGTTTTCTGCAGGCCCTTGGTTAGCTAAAACAGATCTGTGACCAAGCGCAAGCAATGATTCCCTGTGACACTGCATTACCAAAGAACTGATTCAAGCACAGATGTCCCTGGTTAGCAAAGACCAAAAGGCTTGCCCTTCTTATGTCACTTTAGGCTGTTGCTTAAGGCCAGGGTACAAACCTGTTTATGTGGCAGATTTGTGCTTTAGAGTAATACTACGCACGATCACCTGGCAACTTCCTACTGAACCGGGGATTCAACCTCAGAAAAGACGTCTTAACTGTTTATCCCTGGGAACAAAAATTGATGGCAGGATGAAATCGTAATTTCCACACACAACAGCACATTAGCTATTTTAAGAAAGGGCTACACTGGAATTTTTACATTGTCCTATAAGACTGTTCTATCCAAATGTCCAGTCATATTTCATCCATCCACTTTCAATAACAGCTTATCCAATACAGGGCTGTGGTTAACCACAAAGCCAACCCAAGGCAGTTCAAGGAACACAAACACACACTAGTGGCAATGTACAGACACTTTCACGTCAGATGAGAGAGAATCCACATCAAGTACGCTTTGTATAAGGTTTCCCATTTAACCCCAAGCTGAAACTCATGGTGATGCTGCAGGAAATTCAGTAAGGAAGTCAGTATCGTATAATGATTTAATCCATCCAGTTTCCACAACCCCTTATCCAAAGCAGACCTGCGGGAAGCACAGGATATGAGGGATTGTACAAGGAGAGAGAAGCACTGGATGGGATGCCAATTTGCCGTAGAACACGCAAGCAAATGAAGGACAGTACAGACAAATCAATGCATCCAAACTGCATGTCTTTTGGACTGTGTGGGGAAGCCAGATCACTCATAGAAGAAATCCACATCAAAACAGGGAGAACGTGCAAACGACACATCACATTCCACATCCCTGGAGAAGCGAGGTTATAAACAGCGAGTTACCTCACACTGCCTGTCATTTTTCAGCGAAGCAGAAAATCTTGTTTGTGACAACAGCAACATTAGGCAAAAACAGATCGGACATGCCAGGAAGCACGCTCAGCTGAAATTGGACAATCATTTGCATAGATGACAGGCATTTCGCTTTCCGTAAGTCACACATTTTCAAAGAGCTCGCAAAAAACCAAGTCATTATATCAACGATGTAGGAGATGAATGGACTTGTTCAGTACAATAGAGGGGGAAAAAATGACCCACAACATCTGAGCAACAGTGTTTCTTAGATTTCTATACCTGGTGAGACTACATGACACTTTTCAATTATACACAACTAGTAAAGTAGAGATAAGTATTAAAAGGAGAGACACTGTACTGCTGGAGAGCTAAATATCCTGAGATGCTGATGATTCATGTCAACTAGGTTTGTAAACAATAACATGTGTATCAAACGTACACTAACGGAAAGCATCTGTCTCTCATCGCAAATTACACACTAATATCTACTATGCATTCTGGTTTCAGCTTATGAAATCTTCTCCATCTCCAATGTACGCATCAATCAAGTAACCCATAGTGTTCAAATTCCCAGAAACACACGTAGTTTTGTCACATCTGGGGTGCTGAATCAATAAGTGACAGACATAAGCAGTGAGGACTCTGGGGGACGGTCCTCCAGCAAGGCATCAATGGCGCCCCCTGGTGATTGCGATAAGCAGCAAGGATGGACACTCCAGCCTAGTTTCATATCGCATAATACAGCACCAAATGTAACAGTTCCCCTACTGCCCCATACAAACGTCCTCTCTTCAGGGAGAAGCCCAGTTAATTTTAATATAGCCTCCCATTAGTCAGCAGCCACAAGTGTGTGTGTTAGTCACACAAACAAGAAGGGGGGGGGGGGGAGCGTCTTGAAAAAATATTGTCAAGGTTTGTCAAAAACTGTCATGACACTCATGAATACGCAACACATATTTTATTAAAGATGTTTAAGCTTCAGCATAAAAACTGCCACGTTGGAGAGACATGGAAACCAATCTGCTTTCGATGAACTTTTGATATACGATTGTTAATATACGATTACAGGCCATTATGTAAACATGGTTAAGTTACACTGGATCATAAGTAGAATGCCCGCTAGTAATCTTACATTAGCAGCACCCAAACCACAACGCTATTTGTTAATGCGTCCCAACATGAAAAAAATAAGCCATGTGACTTTAAGAATGAGGTGTTATGAATGCCAGAGTCTCATTCAGCATGTGGTGCTGAGGGTGTGATTTGCCTAGGGAGGCATCCCAAACATGCTGGAGCCATGCACACACAGGGGCTCGGTGCTGGCTCACACACAAGGATCATACCTATGACCGTGGCTCTTAGAGTCCCGTAACTTGCTAGGGGGAAAGGCTTGGTAGAAAGCTGTGGAGGGGTTCCTGCACAAATCAAGATTCAGAACGTAAGATGCGTGACCCACAAGAGCATTCCAGAGCCTGCCATGAACTGCGGCAGGTTATCGACTTACTCTGCAGCACTAGAAGGCTGCATTGCTGTACTCCGGGTCTTGGCAAAGGTGGCCATTCATGACAATTCAGAATCATACGTATCCTTAATTGCAACATAAGTTTCCATGCTATGATCGCAAAAACATCACCATAAGCAGACATATGTCATGACATATTAAACAAAAGCCAAACAAAATGAGCGACAACAGGGAGGTATACAAGAGCTCAGATGACTATTTTCACTAGTTTTCCAGATGGTGAATTTGCTTTTTACACAGCTGCCTTGTTAAATTTGTCCTTTCCAGCTTGCTCGTGGAATAGGTCAGATGTTATGTTTGCTTACATCCATAACGTACACAACATGAATCATCACACAACAAACGAAGACCACTTCCACACTCTATCATGGAATTCTGAGACAGAAACCGGAGTTTGGATTAACCCAAGACCTGACCTTGAGACAGAGAAGTCTTTTTTTACCATTAAAACCATCAGATACTGATGCAGATACACTGACAACTTATTACAGTTGGTTATCCAAATATCCCTCTCCCACCCAGATATCCAGGACAAGGCCACATGGGGGGGGGGGGGGGCTGGAGCCTATCCCAGGCAGCATGGGACGCAAGGGGGGGAAAAACACATAACATTGGGCAGGACAACAGTCTACAACAGTGCGCACATGTGTGTGCTTATAAACACGCTCCACCCAAAAACACCTTCAAATCTGCCTTCAGCTGACTGCAATGATGGCCATAGGTGGATTCCGGTCACACACAGCATTAAGGACGCACAGGCTACATTTTACGTGGCCAATCCCGATTTTTTTAAGCCTCACCTACCAATACCGATCCTGACCAACCCCAAGTTTTAGTTTAATAATACTTAACAGACTAAACCTTTTTTTTTAAAAAAAAAAAAAAAAAACACTCCTTTAATGAACTTAGCTTTCTGCAAGCAAAATATTTTAAATAACCTTTTCAAATAAAAAGGGCTCTGCAGGCGTCCAATTAAACTGGGTGTTCCGAATGCTTCTGAGGTAAGGTTCCTACTTTTTTACTGTGAATTTGACGTCTCCGTCCCACACTTTAAGGAATGGAAGTGTGCAAGGAAGTGTGGAAGAGACAGCGACCGAGGAGGATGCGCTCGCACATATACACACAGCCAGTAGCGGTGTAACGATACGCGAAAATCACAGTTCGGTATGTTTTCAGTACAGCAGGGGTAAATAATAAAAATGGCTTTTTAAATAGTGGTTTACTGAACAAAGTATGACAGTTATTCTTAAATGAAAAAGTCTCTGTCAATACTGCTGCAACCTACTAATAAAGAAGTCAAATTTACTTAAAGTAATTCAAAATAAATGTTCTCTCAAGTATATAAAAATATCCATTAAGATGCACATTTAGAAAATTAAGTGTACCAGACCCGCACTGTATTTATATTAGCAGTTTTCAGCTTAATATTAGAACTGCGCAACAAAAATACTGCCTCAATAAACACAAAGTATAACAAAATAAAATATCCATGATGGTACAGCAGTGGAAGGTCATCAGGTCCTGGTTTATCCTTGTTTACCTTAACTATGCGCGTATGCATAGGGGCGGATGAAACTACGACACTTTCCAAATGTTGCTTAGGGGAAACACACAAACGCACAAAGTTTCCGCAGTTACTGCGTGTTCAGTACATATGTGTACCAGACTGAAATACCCACGGAATACCCAAAATAACCATGACAAACACTGTTTATTCAATTGATTCAATTAATTGATATCAAATGAGAGGTAACTGACAGTTACAAGTAGTGATATCTACAGACAGCGCTGAGATATGCAGGCTGTAATTACTTTGTTTCACATCTTTTTTTTTTTTGTTGTAGTTTTGTTGCAACCTCTGAACACAAAGGCATTGTGTGATAGGCACTTGCTGGTTATTCCTGTCGTTACAGTACAGTAGTGTTAAGTACAATACAGGGCATTAATTGGAAGCCCAGCTTAGCCATACTTGTCTAGGTGACTCCTTGACAGCTAGTGTGTCTGATGTGCCATCTACCGTACTTCTACTTTGCTATGTCCAAAAGTATGAGTAACACAAGTAAATGTAAATTTGAATGTAGTGCTATACCGTGATTCTTATAATACCTCAGAAATGTGCACTGTGGACACATTTGCAAACGGGTACGATAAAATATTGCCATATCGCCCATCGCTAACTTGGACCAAAAAATTGTGTTAGATGGTAAAATACTTGATCAGCTCCTAAAATCTGCCATATTTACACTGATTGCTGTCAGGGCAAAAATGGGATTTTTCAATGAGTAGCCGATGAATCTTTGCATCCCTATAAAGCGTACAAATTCAGAAAACATGAAACATATGATAACTTGACCAGAGCTGTAACTAACGACTATTTTTCTATGGATTAATCTATCGACTATTATCAAAAAGTCATCTATACTGCTCTGCGATGACGCTTTAAGATTAACGTCGACTAGTCATGATTGACACCAACATGGACACCTCAGACAATGCCAGTTACGCAGAAGTTCGGGAAAAACTGAGCGGATGGAATTATTTTTGTACCTCCGTTACATTTAATGCATTAATGAATATCTTTTAAGTTGTCTCCCCGTATTACAGCCTTGGGAAATTTGACTGATAACCGATATACTTTTGCCTAATTCTATTGGTGTTTTGCGAATACAGATCTTCGCTTGCTGCAAAGCATTCCCTTCTCTTGTGGATTTATTAATGACATCATCAGCGATTAGTTGAGGTGGACTCGACTTTCACTGCATAGGCCTAACTGTCGACTCCCTACCCCCCCCAGTCGGGCAACCCCTACTACATACCAAATGACTACCACATTAAAGTCCCAGCCTGTCCAATATAAAAACAGCTAGTCAGGTCTTTAATCTTTCTGGCCTTTGATTAAAATCATCCCCATTACATTCAGGATGTTTAAACATGTGCATATTAATTTATACAGACAAATATCCACACATATATCAAACTCCATCCTGAATGCTGCCAGCCGTAGATTGTTTCAAATCCTGACAGATACCGATTCTTTGGGAGGTTCGGCTTAAATAAGTTAAGAGACACGCCATCAAAAATAAAATAAATTGTATAATAAATTGCAAATTATGAAAAAGTATTTATTTTTTGGTAAGAAAATACTAACTCTGGCATACAACAGTCTCTGGCATAATTATATTTTATACCCAGGGATGCATATATACTACCAGTCAAAAGTTTTTGCACACAGTGTGATTTTCTACATTTGCATGTCATTCATTTAACATTTGCTAAAAACACACTTAATATTCTTTGCTAACAAATAAATTTACAGTATGTTCACCATGAGTACCTTTATTAGAAAGAAAATCAAAGTAACCTCCTCTAGCAGTTATAACAGCAGAGAAAATGAGGCATTCTTTCTACAATGGACATTAAATACTGCTCTGTTTCATGGGATAAAAAATAGTTAACAAGTGCATTTAAAGTTAAAGGACAGCCTAGAATGAGACTGTGACATCACCACACAACCATTTAATAGGATGTCAGACACGCACTGTCACATACTCTTTACATGTTATGAAGGAAACTTGTTTTATTTGACTTGTATTTTCATTTATAATCGTTCAGTCAACTTTCCAATACTTAAGAAATAAACTGAAAAGTGGTAAAAACCTGTGGTATGCAAAAACTTTTGACTGGTAGTATAAGTACACATACACTAAAACGTGATACATGTGGCAATTGATTGTTGTAACAGCGCAAATGCGCACATTTTTTGTGCATTTGCACTGCTATTACTAGAAATTACAGTGCACTTTAGCATTTAAAAAGTTAAAATGTACAGTAATTTGTCATATCACCATAGATGCACATAAAATAAGAACGGTAAGGTGAATGCATATTTGCGTACCAGTTACGTGCATCCCTGTAAATGTATACATCTTACATAAAATTAATAAATAACACAAAAAGGCTGATCAAGCTTCATAAACTATGTTATAGTAGTACCTTTTGATATTGCACTGTCTGCACCAAGTTTTGTTTTACTATGAAATGCTTGCTTACTGACAGACTAGCATTATTCAGCAGTACTGCAGCCTTCTTTACTAGTATTTGTTTTTCAGAAACTCTTCATACTCCAATCCTTCATGTCTCGCCTTAAGGTGAGCAATCAAATTTGTTGTATTGAAGTGCTTATAGTAGATCCACCTCAAATTTTAGCAGAGCAATGTTTGCAACATGCATTTTCGCTAACATTAAAATAATTCCACACGTTAGACATTTTTCTAACTGTTTAGTACGTGGGTTTGCAAAGCAATAAGGGCCACCATCTTAAAGGGAATTATCGGCAGTAAATATCGGCTGATTTTTAAGTATCGGCCAAGAGCCGATTGTTGCTGTATTGCGCGATACTGAAAGCTGGCCGATAGAGTCGGTGCATCTCTAGTGATTATGATTTTTGCCATAATCGAGTAGCCCTACTATGGGGCCTTCAATGCTGAAATTTTATTGCCAGTTACAGAATTTACATTTGTATGTATCAATACAAATAGATATGCATGCAGCAGCAGTATAATTTTAAATAACAGATACCCCAATATGTGAAATTGCATTATATGCAATTAAACTAAAGTTTGGATTTTTTTTTTTCCGTGGGAGTAAAACCACCCAAAAGTGGAACGATGTAATGAGGGAAAACCCAAGTAGGAAAGGAGAATTGTAAGTAAGGGCCACGGTGATTTCACAATTACAGTACTAAACATTATACGTGATAAAACTGCAGTTTCACCATAAAAATTGTTTCCGTTTAAGAGAAAAGTGGCAAGACACAATAATACCAGCACTAAAATCCCCTCAAACCACTTAAATTACAATCTACAACAGTGGACACATGCCTAGCTAAAACGTTATAAACACACATTCTTGGAGAATGAGCATGTTGAGATTTATTTTAGTCAGATTTATTCAATAAGACAAATTAAATTAAATCCCTTCAAGGATTAGTTCTAAAGTTTTCTTATATAGCACCCTTCACAACACAGCTGGCCCAAACCACGTAGATGTAAAAACTAATAACTGATGTGTAAAACTAAAAAGTAACTGCACAAAAAAAGAATAATTCTGAGCAGAAAAAGCCAGACAAAAGCAAAGGAAACAACATCCTATATAACCATTTGGCTGGGGGAGGAAGTCTGCACCTCGAGCCTCCTACAAGTCAAAAATGATTATAGTTGTAGTTTCAGAAGTAGACATCATGATGCAAAGAATATTCTGCGGCAAATGATAACGGCCACCAGATCGAAAGGTCAGCTGCTAGCTGCACAGCATCTGGGGCAGATGTTAATAGGCATCATCTTAGGGGAGATACAGGGCTTCCCGTCTGCGAGTCAGGACTTACGTGATAAAATGCTAGCACTTCACTTTAATTTAAAGCAGGCCAGCATTTACATCTGTACACGGTACCCTTTGACTTAATCAACTATGCTGTAGAACCAGCCACCGGTTCCCCAAGCATAGTCAAATACCAAAACCCCTCACACGATTGTAGAGGTGCTAGAACATTAATAGGTCACTTCAACTCGCTTTAACATATCAGAACAAATGCATATATCGCAGGACTAGTCCATAAGCAGTATGGGGGGGGGGGGGGGGGGGGGAGGCCCCCCAAGCTGATTCAGACACACCCGATGGTGCTTCTTTTCTAGTTGCCATTACTCATGTCTGCACAGTGTACTTTCAAGCGGAGCCCATCCTATTACCACACCGCAAACCTCGTCGAGGTGGAACAGGCACACCTTCCACTGACGCACAGCAGCCAAGACCATTTTTATGGCCTCCAATTAATGACAGTCAAAAGTCTAACTTTACTAGGGTATAACAACTGAGATGAAGAGTCTTTGTTCAATGCGTTTCATTAACATATGTTTCACCGATTGTGTACGTGTGAAAATCCTGGAACCATTTAGCAACAGCAACAAGGAAAAGACCATAAAACACACCTACTGCATAGATATTTTGTTATTTCTCTAAAAGGACAATGAATGAATGAATTTATAATGTACGTAAAAAACTTGAACAATCCTATAGGCCCCTGTCTTCCTGACCTGTCTACCTCCTATAATGTGATGTTTGTGTATGTATGGTCGGGTTGATGGCCTGCTTTTCACTGGTACTTGTGACTAGTGACATGGTGAATTGCAACAGCAATAAAGGGAATTAATCAATCAATCTTAAATAATCCCAATATTTGATTTGAAATTTCATATCCAATAAAAACACTAGGTCTACACATTGCAAGCCCAGATAACCATTTTCATCAAGAGTGTTCAGCAGAGAAACAAAGCCCTTGATTAAGACCAAGAAAACCTGTTCATGCCGCTATTATATGTATACACAATCCCACTGTCCGTTAAAGATATGCCAGGAGATCAGTCAGCCAAAAGACTTTCTAATGTTCGCATTCATTATCGGTCTGAAGGCACCAATCAAGCACAGCGATAAACACGGCTGTAGAAACGGATTCCAGTGAAGAGGCTCACGTTAGACAGAGAACAGGTCAGCGGCGATCAAGAGCCCGGTGGACAGGCAGCTTCCGCCAGGAGGGCGTTGTACAATCGGGGCCATTCAGGCAGCTCTTGGAACTCAGCCCTGGAAGTTTATATGGGTCAGCTATCTGTGGAAAAATGATCTGCTCTTGTCTCATCTCCAAGGCCCTGGAAACTCCCTTCTGGACGCGTGGTTGAAGAGCTTTCAAACAACCACACAAGCCGCTGGAACTGTGGCTTGTGTAACGAATCCTACACTTAAAAACACGGAGGAGGGAGGACCAAAAGCACAGTTTTCCTGATGGTAAATTCAATGTTTTCACATCCACACAATTTTCCATCCAAACAAAATCATATAATGCAAATCATACATTGAACTGATTGTGGTGATTTTCATGAATTTACTCATACACTGCCCTAGCTCTCCATCTCAAAAATACTGCCGTGCCAGGCAGCAGCACTACAGCGGAAAGGCTCTTACCCATTTCTATTTCAAGTAATTATAATTGTGACTCAAATTTGAGATCATGAAGTCACTGTCCCTGCCCTTATACACCTGTGATTTTTGATTACAAGTGTCCACGTGGTTCTCTCTTATCCCCATGCATGTATGATGCAGAATCCTGCAGTATTACCCCTGATGTAAAAACAGCATTGACCTTAATCCTACATAATTCTTCAGTAACCGCTATCAGAGGTAATGCCCCCCCGCCCCAAAAAAAAAAAACACAAAACTACTCAATAGGGAACTTTTCACATGTTTCTTTGGGACCAATCACCCCATTAACACCCATATAAAATTAGTTCTCATAATGCATCTAATGAGCCTTAATGAATCTTAATTAATTTAATCCTGTTTCTAGATGTTTACATACGGAAAGACTTTTACTACCAAACTTCACAAAATAAGGGCTTCAGTGCCAGAACAACATGCAAAACATAAAACCGCCCTCCGGGACTTCATGTGGAGCTTATCAGCTCACAGAACACTGGGGAAGGAGTGCTGTCTGATACCTGATAGGGCAAGTAGGAAAGGGCTCGCTAATCAACCGAGAAAGGTGTCCACGGAAGCCACTGACAGATGCCTCTAGTCAAAAATGCCAACATGCAAATTGCACAGTCTCAGATAATGCGACTGGACCTTTTTTGTGTATGTGTGTGTGTGTGTGTGTGTGAACTTAATGTTCTTTAAAAAGAAAAATGTCAGCGATCACGTTAATAGATTTCTTGACATCTTAATCAAAGTGATAATTATTATACCTTCTCTTTCTGGAATGCAGTTAAGCTTACAGGAAGCCGTTTACTGCTTGTGACTCAGGAAAGTCCACCTTAACTACAGGCCCAAGAAGAGTTCCCCAAGGAAAGTTGTAAATTCGACTCATAAAAACTTTCAGAATACAGAAAACCATCCACAATACTCCCAGCATGACCATGTTTTTGGTGAGACCGTTAACTTGCATAGCACAGCACTACAGTACTTTTACTAGCTTTCAGGAATCTCGTACTTCAATCATTACTTGCAACGTGTTACAGCTTACGATTCAGTATTTTAATTAAATGCAGATCATAATGCTTTACATATTATAGTGATTAAAACTTGCTCAAAACACCTCTATGGTAATAGAAATTACCCATAATACAAGAGGACGCTTTGTGACCAAGATGGTCAGATCTACAATTTAAGGTTTTGCTTGGAATTTTACAGCTTCTACACCCAACTCTTTAGTTACCACCATGCATGTGCATGATTATATTTTTGATAACAAATGAACAGAAATAGCACAGAATAGGTTATTCTATTTTTACTCAGTCTACAAATGCAGTCACAGCCAAGAACCAGAGCCAGGTGGGTTAGAAGGGCACGTATCGCAAACGTATCGCAAACGTATCGCAAACGTATCGCAAACGTATCGCAAACGTATCGCAAACGTATCGGTACTGTTCGGGGGCTGAAGTCATGACTGGGAACAGGAAGCATGCTTCTCCACATCATGCAGAGAACAGCAGCTCCCCTCATGCAAATGAACAACTCCTTCAGCAACAAACATCTGGAAAAAGTGAACCCCCCCCACACACACACACACATACCCCCCTATCATAATAAATGTGTTAAGAGCTCTTGCTTCTCCTCTGTAGCACTCAGCAAGACAAAGACAAACACAAAAATGGGGCACAAGGCATAACTGCTGCTCACTTTAAACCAAAAAATAGTCAGTCATGAAGAATAATTACAACGCCTGATTGGCGGGTTTCGCGTTCTGCAGTGAACTGACGAGACACTAAAAAGGTCCGGAGGTAATGCAATCCACTGGACTTCCTTATTGGCAAAAGCAATGCATACAATTTCCAGCTATATCTTAATATAGCAGAAACCTCCAACTTCAAAATATAAAGGCAACTAGAACAGTAACTTAACATAAATTATTCAAAGGCACCACCCCATGGGACAGATTCATCACAGGACAGTTAAGCCTGCGCGCATCAAGAAGTCTGTATGGCAACCCCCCTAATGAAAACGGTCCTTAGCCCTTACACACATGCCAGTTGCTCCTTGTCTGACCCAGTTGTTCCCATTCCAGATTTCCCCTACGATGAGCTGGAGGAAGCATGGCTCAGGTTTCCGTTTCCATGTGCTATTAAAACAGCGATACCACGACAACTGGTGTCACCCGAATCCTGCGAGTGGGATTCGCTCGCTCGATGCCAGCAAGCCATCTTTCCCTCTTTAGGACGCTCACTGCCGTGAATCCTTTTTCACTGCATCTCTGCCTCAACAAAACCAGAAACGGGCCTAATAAAGTCTAGGAATGATTAACAATGGCATTCTGGATTCTAAACACACAACACTACTAAAATATAATGGATCTTTAGCCACATACTGGCACAAATAGTATGAATTACTGTTATACACTGCTAAAATGGAATATAAACTATATCTATACACATGCAAATAGACACACACGATTTGTTTATTTATATATAAAAATGTTTTGGATATCTGTCAAATTAGTGACACTATCAGCTAGTCACTTGAGTGTTAATATATCCAACTTACCTGCTAAAACATGTAAACTAATTTCGGCAATAAAGTTTACCCTGAAGTGTACAGGAGTGTCATGACAACAGGCAGGTCTGATTACTGCAGAGATTCCTCCCATCCCTGCTTGGGATATACACCCACTGGGCCTTACCTGTCTTCATCTCCATCAATGGTGATGGACATTCCAAACAGGCTGTTCACAGAGGGTGTCGTTAACTGTAGGCTTTCTGGGATCAGAGGCTTCATGACATCTTTTCCAGAGATGACAGAAGGCTGAGGTAGCGCATCAGACTTCCTCCGGTTCTCCTCCACTTGGCTGCCTGGGGCCTGGCCGAAGGTGGCAGGGATGTTCTGAATGGCCGCCCCAGACATGGTTCCACTGGGGGCCACCTGCGACTGGCTCTGAAGAGACGGCCCTGGAGGGGGCGCCGCCTGATTTGGCATAGTCAAGGTAGTGCTGGAGGTGCCAGGTACCGCGGCAGGCAAGTTTTGGAGGCTAGGGGCCGCCGCGTGGGAACCCACGGAAACGGATGTGTTGCTGGCGACTCCCAAAGACTGGCGTGGAGCTGCAGCGGGCTGCTGCTGTTGGGCCACCCCGCTTCCCAAGATGCTCTGCTGTGTTAGGTGACCTTGAGTGGGCGCGGACTGACCACCCGGCAGCGACACACCGGCGGAGCCTACTGCTGAATCTCCAGCGGGCCCGATGAGACCCAACACCCCTCCGGAGGCAGGCGTCATGACCGGGGATGGGCCCTGGTTGACCGACGGCCCGATCGGGAGGGAGGCCACAGAGGCAGCGGCGCTTGGAGGCTGCACGGCTGACAGGTGCTGTTGCCGGTAATCCGCCTGACCGGCAGGTATCAGAGGGGGCAGGTGGTGACCCGCCTGCGGCTGTGTTGGATAAGCAAACGGCTGGGCCTGCGTCACGGGCGGCATGCTGGGGGACTTCTGCTGCACGTTCGCATGCATGCCATTGGGTGCGGGCAGGAGATGGGTCGGGGGGGCGACAGGCGTCACTGAGACCTGCGTCTGCTGGGAAGCCGAGACCACTATCGGCTTGCCGCCAGGGACGACGCCATAGCCATGCCCTACCGCCCCACTAGCGGGCTGGTGCCCAACACTGAAATTCTGCTGTAGCTCAGCAGGAGGCAGATGGGCAGCAAAGGAACTATCTGTGGCAGAGTCAGGGCCCTGGGTGGAATGCAGAGCGGGTGCTGCCACCGAGCCTCCGGTGGCCCCCAGCCCGCTGTCCCTCTCTGCGTTGTGATCCAGGGCATTGCCATGCCTAATGCTGTCCACAGTCCGGGTGATGACTTCCGAATCTCTTTCATAAAACTCAGTACAAGTCCACCGACCCCTCCTGAAGGGCTCCCCTGATCCATGATCGAGTTTTATGACCCTGAACCGTGAACTGCAGCTGCTGGTATTAGCTACCGAACTAGCGGCAGGGGTCACAGCGGCTGGCTGCGAAACAGGCGCTGTCATGTGAGCCGCCCCCGCAAGAGAGGTAGGCTGCTGCATGACCCCGACTGGCGCTGCGGGTGGCTGGCTGGGGGGTCCACCGGCATGTGCAACACCTGACACTGCTGTGCTTCTAAAACCAAATCCCCCGTTCAAAGGACCAGATACTGCCTGTAGATGCCCATCTTGAGGTATATGTACTGTCGTGGTGCCGGGGGGCTCAGCCTCCGTAACGTTATTTAGGGTTTCTTCAGATGAGCTCCGGTCACAAACCTCCGGCTCGAAATCGGCCCGTGACACATCAAATATTTCAGAGGAAACATCCTCGGTCCTCGATTCGTCCGGATCGTCTAGACTTTCGGTGTCGTCGGTCATGCTGCTGGCGGCCACCTGAGCCTGTGTCACACTGGTGATCTGAAAACAGCTCTTCTTTTTCACCGGCATTTTAGACATTTTAGACGCTTATGTTGATAACGACACTCGCTTGTCTGGAATAGCCGTCCGTGAAGTATCCGCTTAACACAGCTGGCAGAACGAAACACGGTGGTATGGTAACAAGTTCACAGTCTATAACTGTAAGCGGGACTACTATGCGTCATCTTCCTTCCTCTCCAGCCCGGCCGCATTTTATGGCTTTAACATAGTTAGGCGACAGCAAATCTCAACTCCAACGGCGCAGACACGACAACGCGGCCAGCTACACACCGGCTTCTCCGCGGCAGACGGTAGTCTCTCTCCGTTTCGTGAGAACCGGCCTGCCCCGCAAGGCAGCTAATGTTCCGGCTCCGGATTTAAGAGCAGGCCGCTGTCGCAGATACGGCTCAGCAGCCGCTACCGCTACTTTAGTCTGAGGCTATCCTGTTCCCCACTACTCTTTAAATGAGCATTTTTTTACCTGGAAACCAGAACGTTCCGCATCATGACAAGCACGTCTTTCAGTTACGCTTTATAAAGAAACAACTATGTCTAATAAATGGATTTAAGGTATCCACTCAAGCCTTCCCGCACTCCAGCGTTTCTCTTCTCTAGCATCCAGGGGGCTGAAATTCACAGACCTACTCCCCTCCTCTCCGGCTCGATATGAGAGGCAGCGCAATGCACTCTGGGAGGATTGTGCGTTGACGTACGCAAAGCCATAGAAGAATACTACTTTATACGCAATGTAGGAAACGTTCGTATTTTAAACAGGGGTTTCGGTGACGTCAAACCGGAAAAGGAAGTAGATGTTGCGTGTGTGTCATTCATTACTTCATTAGAACCAAGGAATTCAACGTTATATATTCCTATATATATATATATGATTTATTAAATATACAGATAATGGATGGATAAATATATAGAAATTCTTATCAATTAGACAAAATTATTTAGCAGGCTAATAAGTCAAACATAAGAGTGTTTCCAGTGTGAGAAATCGAACCAGTACGTACCTCTCGTGCCAACTTAGGGGTTCGTTTTTATCTCATTAACCTTAGTTCGCTTGATCGACTTAATATTCCGTCGATCTACGCCATTAGCCATTCATAATTATATTTTATTTACGTTGTTTTTATTTACTTTATGCTTTATAGAAAATTAAACATTAAGTGCTATATTATAAAAATAATGAATCGCTAGCTTTCCATATTGTGTTATTCAGGATGGGCATCTCTCACGCATTTGGCGTGAAACTCACGCTTTGTGACTCCTGCTCACACAAGAAATTTTACGGCAAATCTATTACATTATAAACCTAAAATTAACCACATCTAAAGAGTTGGGGTAGTTTTTAAACCCTACAGACTATTTACGGAGTAATAAAACTGTCACATGCATGTAAATGAGTGCCCACTTGTCTTGAATTGAAAATCTCAGCGCCAGCCAGCTGCCCAAAGTTGGCAACACTGGATATTACTTACAGTGAATTTCTGCTTTAGTGTTTGGCTGGCTTCGTTAAGTGAAAGTAAATTGGGTGGTTACTATAACAGTAGAGATACATTTGGAGAAACTGGCACATTGCGTATTTTAACTGTTTGGAAGCTGAAGTTTCTTAAAGCTGATTTAACATCATATGTAACCTTTATTTTGTTTCTAATAAAACGTATGATTCACAACACATTATGTATAACATTAAAATGCTGACCTAAAATGTCTAAACGTCATAGCCCCTTGCCATTGGACTTCTTTTCGGCTGCATTCCGTCATATAGACTTGGTGTGTCTCTAAAGACGTGGCCTTTGCCCGCAGTTATAATACTGTATACTGTGGGAACTGCGTGGCTTTCGAGAAGAGTCTCCACGCTGACTCGAACGAAAGAATCACGTTTTAACTGCCAGGGAGCTACTATGTTAGTTTTCAAAAACAAAGCCTACCCCTTCCAAACTGCTTAAAAACATTGCAGTACAAATTATTTCATGTCATTGATTACACATTTTTGCTATACAGACATGGCACACCTCGACTTGCCCTTGCATTGTTTGTCTATGATTCGTCACATAATTCTCAGTATGTCCTAAAATCTGATAACTGTACTTATTGTTTTTTGTCAGTTGTTAATATTAAATCCTACTTTGTTTAGTCTTGCGGGGTTACATTGTTCTGTCTGGGCATGATGTCATTATGACACATCATACACAACCCCGACAATTTAAAAATTTTATGTTAATGAAAACTGCAAGCAAAGAAATGTTAAATGTTTATTGCTACATTCAATCTATACTCAATTTATATGATTAAATCTATAGCCTGCTTAGCAATATATTTTTAATGCAGTATATCAAATCAATTGAGTGAAAATAATGTTTCAGTATTCCATTAAAGCAAAAGCCTATTACTCAGAGGTATACTAAGGGAGTGATATACACTGTTCACTTTCAGTGTGAACTGTGCTTTGTGATTTCAGTTCAGTTAAGGAGGTATTTATGACTCATGATAATATCTGATTTGAAGACATTTTATCTTTCCAGTTGGACCTGCTGGTGTGACTGTCTGTTCTACTATTTACAATATTTCATATTACTCTCTGCTTGTCTTCCCACTACCTCAAGCATGTCAACACTTGCTGAACCGTTTATCTGTGGCTGAGCTGCAAGACGAGCCTCAGGCATGACAGGTGCAGTACTCATGGAATGAGCGCCTGCAAACCACTGGATGAATGGCTGTTTACCAGAATGCACCTCACCTTTGCCAATATTGCTCACGCAGCACTCATTTATGTTAATTATGCAACATTGCATGTGAAATACCCAAGATTAATGTCTGACCATTTATAGGAAAAAGCCACTAAGTTAATGGTTTGTAAGTTGAATTTGAATAGCAAGTTGTCTGTGAAATCCTGAAGTTGTACATGCAGGTTAAAAGTATATCATCATATTAACACATCATATTAAAATCACAGTTACAAAAGGTGCTTATGATTTACATGCAAGAAGTTAAATTGCACCACATAAAAAATATTCACCACATTATAAGTCTTTCTGGTAAATAATTATACATAATAACTGTATACATTATTTTTTTGGAATGCAAATTTTACTTTATTTGAAATAGAAACCAAGTTGCAGTTCTTGTGAAATATGCAATGACTACAGTCACTAAAGAACACTGGTGAGAACAGTATGTCTGATCTGATCACACCTCATTCAGCATGAAGCATCAGGAAACTTTTTTATTATTTATATCTTACCATTTGCTCAACAGGTTGTGGCGATGCTCATCTAGTTTGGGCGGAAAGGGTGTTTCATAGTTGGTTTAGGTTGTTTATGAAAGTCTGAGAAGTGTTTTTGATTAAAGGAAATGTGTTTGTTTTACCATATGGGCCTTTGAGCCTAATGATTCAGTAGTGCCTGAAGCCTGATCTGTTAAGTCACAACATGTTAGGTTTGACTTCAACAGAATACAGATCTATAGTACTTAGGTATATTTGGTGAAGATCTTCTGAGTTACAATACATGTTCGACATATAAATATCCAGTTTTATCCTTTCCTAGTATCTAAAACCCTTTTTGATTTTATTCAGTGAATGGTTTTTGGCCATAGACACAATTACAGTAATTATGTAGTCATTAGTTTCTCTTTCCAGAAATGTTTCTTACTCTGAACAATATATTGCTTTTAAATGTTCTGAAATGGAAGAAAAACCCTTTCATTACAATTTTCCTACAATTAATTCTACCCTGGTTCCTATTCCAAAACAGGTGACTGATGAGTTGATTTTCTCAGTACTAAAGCTGAACTTCAATTTCAACTGCTATCCTATCAGCTTCTTAAATTTAAATTAATAAAAAATATATACAGTGCCAGTCAATAATCTGGTCTGGACACACCTGCAGAAAATCATTTTTTTCTTAACAAGATAAAGGCCATAAGCACACTTCATGGTTGTATAGTAAATATTATCTTGCGTACAATGAAAGAGATGGAGTGGTGCAATAGAAGACTTGGCCCACGCAATCCCCCAACCTAAATGCATTAGAGCTGCTTTGGGATGAGTTGAATCGAATAATAACAGCAAGGTAGCCAACTTGTGGCCAGAACTAGTTGAAACTCCTTTAGGTATCTGTTTAAAAGGATGCTAAGAGTCTGTAATGCTGGCATTGAAGCAAAAGGGGGCTATTTTGTAGAGTCTAAAATGTGACAAAATTTCAAGATGTTGAGCACATCTCTTGGTTACAATGATATGTGTTACTTCATTGCCTTGAGGCCTTTTCCTATAAGGTGAATAACAGCTAAAATAGAGGCAAATGCATGAAAAGCAGGTGTGTCCAGATTTGACCGGTACTATATAATACATTATAGTTTGCATATGCATATGGTTCTGTTTGTGTGGAATTTGTGGGGTTTTGGTGAACGTACTTGATGGTAGTGTTGTAGTCAAGACCGCCTGTATCAAGACCAAGACACTGCCGAGACTTGAGGGTACCAAGACCAAGACACACTAAGGCGAGACCAAGACCAAGACACACTAAGGCGAGACCAAGACCAAGACCGAAAACAGACTAGCGCTAGAATCGACATCACATTACTCAGATCAACTGTAGAGAAAAAAGGCATTGCTGTAAAGTGACATTACTCGTGAAATCAAATTCATGTTATCTTTTCAATTATATTGTCCATATGTCCATATGTCTCTCATTTAAAATCTCCCAGATTTGTCATAGTTACGAGGCCTGATTGAAAATAATATTCTCAGCAATCCTCTCTATAACCATTTTATCAGACGTCGTCAAGGGAAAGAGATGGGATGTACCAGAAAGATGTTCATATTAAGTCTCTTATACCAGGGACAGACGCCTCGGGTAAGCTATGAATACGGCTATCTAATGATCCTTTGCTTTGAATTGAAGAGAATGAGCCTCCAGATTGACTTGCACCTCCAAGACCGTGCTTTCTAATCAATGTAAAATACCTAATTTATTTGAATTATAACTATGCTATAGACTTTGCGGACATTTTCTGACATTTCTTTGCCGACTTCGCTATGATGCGATGTGTATGATGTGTGTGGACTGTGAAGCACTGGCAGTGTCCGTTGAGAAAATGTATAAAATGTAACGTTTTTAAAATAGATGCATCTGACTGGTTGCATTTGAATTGAGGCGCGTAATAATGATACTGTTCTGTGAGGATGTGCTGTTTTCTCTTTTTTTCCCCATCCCATCGAGACCGCTATGTCCGAGACCAAGACAAGACCAAGACCAAATGGAGTCGAGACCAAGACAAGACCGAGACCACAAAAAATTGGTATCGAGACCAAGACCGGTCTCGAGAACTACAGCACTACTTGATGGTTGTAAAATGCCTATAGTACTTGTATCCCACCCAGGTTCTCCCCTACTACACCGATGGTACTTTCCCGCTATATGATCCAGTCTCACTGCATCCCTGAAATGGATAATCAGAAAAGAAAGATGGATAGATGTATCATTTCCATAGTCATTGTATATACCTGAGACTGATGACTGAAACTGATGACTATTCAGATAGTGGTAATAGACCTTCATTATCTCCAGATTTTATAATAATACAATATGAAAGACGTTTCAGCTCAGTGTATCACTCCATGCATCATATATCATACATTAAAAGATAAAATGACTA